TAGGGCGCGTGCGCTCGCCAGACAGACAGAGAGAGACATAGAGACAGAAAGCGAGAAATCATCCCCCAGAGGGGATGGTCACACCGCAATCACTTCTCCTCCATTCTCCTCTCGGGATCTTGGGCACGCACGCACACGTGCCTGGCGTGAGTTTAAAGCCACCGGGTTCGGGACGTGAACCGCGGTTGACTATGTGGGAGTCCAGCGACATAGCCATTACGCTAATGGCTTGTTCCCTCACCTACCTTGATTTTTGTATGTGAGGCCAAGACTTCAAAAGCCTTGAGGACCTACCTAAAGTTAGACAGCCATCAGGTGGCCGTGTTGGCATTTGGGTCTGTCTGCCCCATGGGCTGGCTTCCACTGTCTGAGTGGTCCTCCCACCTTCTGTAAGAGCTGCAGACCCCAGCTGGCACATCCGGGGATGTGGCCGGTCACTGCCAGAGGCTCAGCTGCATTTTGAGTGTTAACTCTACTAGGGGCTGAGCTAGCCCAGAAACCGAGCTAGCTCAGTCTTGGTGCTTCAGCACTTGAAGCACACCCTGGGGCTGGGGGCCTCAGTTTCCTGCCCTGGCCTCATCTGTTCAGCTGCTGAACTTCTCCCCAAGAATGGCCATCTGTCTGAGCAGGGCGTCTGAGGACAGTTCTCCTTCGGCATATCCAGGCAGAAGCTTGGCAGAAGGACTACTTCTCCACCCACTTGGTTTCCAGGCCCATGATGGCTTTTCCATCTGGCTCATTCATTCATGTATTCATTCAACAAGTTGTCACAGAGCACCGACTCTCTGCCCCGCCATGAACGCGGTACTGAAGGAGGTGAGGAAGTGAGGACGGATCGGTATGAGACAAGACACCACAGAGTAGAGTAATTCAAGGAATGGCAAGGGCCACAAGCGAAGTGGACAAAGTGTGAGTTCAAGAGGAGAGCTCAGGCCCAGATTTGGCAGGAATGGGGGATGGTGTGCATTAAGGAGAGTGTTGAGGTTGAATTTGAGCTGAGCTTGAAGAAAGGGTAGGACCTGGAAATGTAGAGCCAAAGGTGAGGGTGATCCAGGTAGCCAGAGGGCCTGTGCAAGGCCCGGAGATGGGATCGCATGGTGATGTCTGGGCGCAGGGATCCGCTGTGCATGGCAGGGAGGGAGAATGTGAGGCAAGCAGGGGAGCCAGGGTGGCATTGGTAGGGTGTAGGGGACCAGCCAACTTTATGTCGGGAGCTACATGCTGCAGCACATGTCCCCAGTCACAGCCCAGCCCCTCCGGAGGGGGATCAGGAGAGATGGAGAAAGGCTCCAGAGGGCCCAGGAAGAACTGCAAGCCTCGCTGGGGGCACACTTCCTGCACACTTGGCCGCCTGTGGGTCTCTATTTTATGTCCCATGTGCACATGAGAGAGAGAGAGAGGGAGAGAGAGGGAGTTAAAGAGAAAGCATCCCCAACAGGGCCTGGTCATACTGCAATCTTTTCCTCCAATTCTCCACCCTGTCAGTTTCCTGGGTGGGCATGCACATGCCTGGAGTATTATTGTTTTCAAGCCTCTGAGGTCAGGGACTCAAACGCTGATCGGCCATATGGGATCTGGCTTCCTCCGCGCAGAGCCTGAGAGCTGGGCTATGGGCTGGGTCTCTGTCGTTCTTGAAAAGCCCTTCATTGCCATGGTTGAGAATCCATTACATGCTCCAGCAGTTCTTCTTAGACCCCAACAGGAGGGAGGCTTAGAAAACATCCCACCCAGTGATTTAAGAAACAAAAATCTGCAGAATCCCATTATGCAAATGCAATCACAGAAGCCCCAAACAAATCCCAAGGGCTACCCCAGTTAATGCAGGATGGCTGGGTGGAGTCTCTCACTCCATCTCCCTATCATTCCCCACAGCAGCTCCTGGGGCACCTGGGAAATGCAGGACTCCACGGTGCTTTGAAAACCACCTTCCACCCAACTCCTATTTTATTTACGAGTGAGGAATCTGAAGCCAGAAGATACTTGGGGCACCAGGTCACTGGGTCAGGGCTCTTTTCTCCTGCCTAAGGTCAGGGGCCACTGCCCCGTGAAGTGCCTAGACAAGGTAGGCATGGTCCCCGGGACATAATTCCCTCCCCTGGCTGGAAGTACAGCCCAAATGACCGATAGGTGACTGGAGTGACCCCAAATGACCGACTCCAGGGCCCGATGGCAGCTGTAGCTGTGCTGGCACTCCTGCAGCTTTCTGACTGGCAATTCATCACACAGTGGGGATGGACATGCGGCCAGGACAATGATGTGCCACCGTCACAGGAGAGAGTGGAGGGTGGGCAGGGGAGCGCCGTACAGGCGAAACAGCTGTTTTCACACGTGCCCAGCATTTGATTAGTTACCAAGGTGTTTCCACAGACACGATTCTACTTAGTTCTCACAATCAGCCTAGGAGGTTGTAAGAGGAGATTTTATTCCTATTTTACTGTCATTAAAGGTGAGCCTCGGGGCTGGCAGGTGGTGTGGTGGTTAAGGGCGCTGGACTCCCACATAGTCGACTGTGGTTTGAGTCCCAGACCTGGTGGCTTGCTTTCTCACTTTCCTTCTCTCTCTCTCTCTTTCTCTCCCCACCTCCCACTCTGTCCCTCTCTGGTCAAATTTTTAAAAAATAAATGAATTTAAATAAAATAATTCTTTTTTTTTTTTTTTCTTTTGAGAGGTTTTCACTATAGGGCGCGTGCGCTCGCCAGACAGAGACAGCGAGACAGAAAGCGAGAAATCACCCCCATGGGGGGATGGTCACGCTGCAATCCCTTCTCCTCCATTCTCCTCTCGGGATCCTGGGCACACACGCACACATGCCCGGTGTGAGTTCTAAGTCACCGGGTCCGAGACATGAACCGCGGTCAACTACGTGGGAATCCAGCGACATAGTCATTACGCTAACTGCTGGTTCCCAGTAAAATAATTCTTTAAAGAAAAAAGGTGAGGTTCAGAGAGGCTAAGTGAGTTGCCCAGTGTCACACAACTGGAGAGGAGACAGAGAATCCTCTCGTCCAGGTTTTCTAATTTCAAGTCTGGACAGCATAGGAGCATAGTGTGGGAGAGGGAAGCCTGAGGAAGCCTGGTGTGTGTGTGTGTGTGTGTGTGCGCGCGCGTGCGTGCGTATGTGTGTTGGGAGGCTGCCAGGGGAGAGACAAGGAGGAGCAGGGACCCAGCCTGGGAGCAGGTCTGTGAACTGCTTCACGGTAACTGCTCCTCTAAATACATGCACCTCACCGAGCATGTACGAACCTCAAGAGAGGGACCCTTGGACCCCTGTACCCAGCATGGTGCCTGTCTCAAGGCAGGTGCTCAGCAAACACCTGATCAGAGAGGGCGTGCTCGTGACCTTGTTTCTGAGGGAGGCTGGCTCAGCCCTGCAGCCCACTGTCTCACCAGGGCTGCCATCTTCCCACTCCCCCTGCTCCTGCAAATGGGAGAAACACCCAAAGCAGCTCTGCAGATGCGTCCGGGGAAGCAACGAATGTGCTGGGCATCCTTGCCCCTGGGGCTCTGTCACCCGACGTCCAAAGCCCACTTCCTTTGCCAGGGCCAGGCGGCTGCAGGGCGCTGTGGCAGCTCCCGAGCATGGCGATGGCTCCGACCGTTTGTTTGGACTCTGTGACTCTGGGATCAATGCCCAGCTCAGACAGAATAAAGACGTGAGCTCAAGACTCACACTGTCAGGAGGGTCTGGACAGACTTCTGCAGCTCCTGTGAAAAAGGGGACTGCCACCCTCTCCCTCACAGCCTGCTCTCCTTTCTCCCTGAGGGGTGCACGCAGTCTATACCACATGCTTCGACATACACAGACCTTCTAGAAGATGCATATGAGAAGCTTATGAGAAGCCCCCAGCACAGGCCCCCTCCTGCCAAACATCCCAGAAACATCTGCCCGCAGGCCCAGGCCCTCAGACCTTCTGGGAGGCTGAGACTAACAACCATACCCCTGCAGGGCTTGGCACATGTGATTTCTAGACAGGGCATATGTTGCTTCCTCCTCCCTGACATTAAGGGAATAGCTTCCTGGCAGCAAGCCTCCCCTGCCCCCATCCCAGGAGTGGGCTCCAGCTGCTCAAAGGGGCCACTTACTTTGGGGGGCCTTCTGCTGCCCCTCAGTTCTGACCATAACCTTCTCACCCCAAGCAGGCCTGGCATCAAACACACACAGGGGTGATGACAGGGCTGAAAAAGCAGGTCCACTTTATTTACATTGATCAGTTGGTGACACATAGATCTTTGGGTTTTCTATGGCCTCCGAGAGACACCCTGTCCCCATCCTGTAGTGAGACCCACCTGCTCTGACCAGCCTCAGCTCGGAGTATTTCTGCGGTGGCCACTCTCTGGGTAGCCAGTGTCCCCAAGCATCTGCCATAGGCTCTTACCTCCTTTGGAGTTCCAGTCTTGGTCCAGGTTGTGGGGCACCTAGTAGGGGACCACACACTCCCATCTGGGGGGAGATGGGCTGGGGGAGGAGTCCTGCACCGTTGCCAGGGCAGAGACTCCGCAGCGCCTGGTACAGCGTGGTATGTGGCCTAGCCTGCTGTTTGAACCTTGGAAAGCCCAGCCCACTCTTTTCCAGAGGCAGAGTAGTGAAGTCTCAGGAACCCTCCAAGGCTAGAGAGGCCCGGCTGAGGCCTGAGGGTTCTCCCCTGTGTGCATGGTGGCAGACAGGGCCCATGGTCGGCCTGGCCTCAATCTCCCAGGACCATTAGTTTTTTCCCCTAAAAGAATGCCTCTCCAGGGTAATTCTTAGCACTGGGAGGAAGGCCAGAGGGTCCAAGGGCAGGGCCACTGTCTCCACTCTGTCAGGGTCCAAACCCACCCCCCTGGATTTCGAGGAAACTTCTCCCCGCTTCTCTTGAGAGGATGTTCTGGGAGAAAGTGGGTGGCCAGAGTGGGCAGAGACTTGGTGTAAAGATTAGGGGCAGTTCCACAGTGAAAGGCCCGGGAAACTTCGGGCGCAGGGAGAGGTGAACAGCCCAAAATAATCAACGGCGAATCAGACATCGCCCCAACCCAGGATGAGGCGGCGGGGCGGACACCGACGACGGAGACCACGAAGGAGGCAAGGGCCAGGGACCAGAGGGAGACGAAGCGGGCAGGGCCGGGGTTGAGGCTGTAAGTGCGGCGCGCCGGATCTGGGGCCGCGAGTCCTGGCCCTCCGCTCTCAGCGCGCCTGGCCCGCCCGCTCCCTGGCGCCGGCCTTCCAGCGGCGGGGCTGCGCGGACGGAGGAGGCGCCGGGGCGCCCCGCAGGCTGCACGTCCTCAGCTCCCGGGTCAGGCTGAGCACCTCGGGCCGCTCGCTCTGGGGGGCTCCTCCCTCGTGCTCCTCCTCGTCCTCCTCGTCCTCCTCCTGGATGCTGCTGAGGCGCGGGGCGCCCCGCG